AGGAGTGGGGTGCTAAAATCCCGCTGTAGAGCCGCGACCGAGCCGAGCGCAGGGCAGTCCCCGACATGCTGAAGCGATAACACCTCAGAGAAGCTTCCTCAGAGGCTCTGAGGCAATGGAAGCCACGGCCAAGCACGGCTCTGCCTGCCACTCAGGGGGCAGGAGAAGGTGCTGCCATGAAGCCACTTGGCTCGACAGGTTGTGTCCCTGCCCCATCACTTACTGATGCTCCAGGCGCAGCAGCGATGCTGTCCCTGAGGTGCTCCAGGGAAGCAAACAGAGTATTTTTGCCTTCCCTCAACTTCTTGTTCGACTTTACAGAAGAGGCAGGGGGAGAAGGCAAAGCCCTGTTTGATCTTCAGCTGCTGCCACCGTAACACTCCTGAACTTTGAAGTGCTTCTCTGCTGCAAACACAGTTCTTGGAACCTGGCTGGCTCTGGCTTTGATAATATGTCGTGGTTTAAGCCCAGCCGACAACTTGGAACCACGCAGCCACTCGATCACTACCCCCCCAGTTCCTTCCTCCCCCGGCTCCCGGAGGGATGAGGAGGAGAATCGAGTTGAGATAACAGCTCTCCAGTAACTAAGGTATAATACAAACCACTACTGCTACCAATAATAATGATAAGAGGAATAACAAGGGGAGAGGACACAACCGCTCACCACCCGCCGACCGATACCCAGCCTGATCTGGGCCTTCTGGGTGACTCCCCCCAGTTTCTATACTGGGCATGACGTGCTGTGGTATGGAATACCCCTTTGGCCAGTTTGGGTCAGGTGTCCTGTCTCTGCTTCCTCCCGGCTTCCCCTCCTCCCTGGCAGAGCATGAGACTGAGAAAGTCCTTGGTTGGAGTAAACATTACTTAGCAACAACTAAAACCATCGGTGTTATCAGCGTTGTTCCCAGACTGAAAGTCAAGAAACACAGCACTGCACCAGCTACTAAGAAGGAGAAAAAATGACTGCTGTAGCTGGACCCAGGACATAATGCCACACAGCTGGGGCTTTTTTTCCCTCTGTAACACCATTCAGGCCATTAACACACCAGGGAAATGGTTGAAGCAACAAATCTGCTTGAATCACCTGAGGTTTTAGGGGGGACACTGCGCTTTTTAGACTTGAAGGATCTGTCATGCTCTTATTTATAATGCAGTCTGATACTCAAAGCTTTGTCAGTGTCAGTTCCTTCATCAGTCTGTGGCCTCTGTTTTTGTTAAACCCCTGCATGGAGTCTGTGCTGCTTTCACTAAGATTCAAATACCCACATTCAACAACAGCCTCCCTCTATCTTTCTAAGATGCTGGCAAAGGGAGAAGCTTCTGCCACACACACTAGGACACGAAGGTGCCCTGGAAATACATTTCAAAAGGTGGTTTTGAAGCCCAAAACTGCAAGATAAGCAAAGTACAGAACAAGATACCAGAGCTAAAATGGACATCTAGCTTGTCTATACTTCTGACAAGCAGCCCACTAACTTCACCCTAAAAATATTATCATCAGGATAAGCCCCATTTGATCTCCCCCTGACTTAGAGCTGGACTGTGTAGCAGGAAACTCTCCCTGTGAGCAGGGACACCTCTCAAGGTTTGAGATTCCTTACCTGAGACTAAGAGATCCTTCCTTGCCTGAGATGGAGAGATTCTTTAGTCACATTTGACTGACAGCATGCTGAATTAATACTAATGAAATGTTACCAATCCACATAGCTACAATATTAATTAGAAACTTTGCATAGATAATGGTATTAAACATAAACTGTTGTCCAAGTCCAAGACTAAGATTGCATCCAGCCACACATAAGCCCCGTCGGGAGTTCAGAAAGCAACGGGGTCCACTCTGAATCTCATGACTCCATGGAAAGGTCTTCCTTATCCTTTGCATCTCCAGTCTGTCTGTGAATCATTCTAACTTGATTCTAACTCTATTTTCCTTTGTTTCTTCCATGATTAATAAGGTGAACCTTGCCATCAAACTTACTGACCCACTGTTAAACTTTATAAAAGTCCATCAAATTTATTGAACTCTTGTAAAATTATTTTAACTCAATAAAATACATTGCTGCTTCTCTCTTTTGAGTGAGGTGCATTCCACTCATCTGCAAGTTTCCCTTTAAAGTGAAGGATAAAATAAATCTTGTTACAGAGGTAGACGTTTATTTCTGTGAGGTCTACTCTACAAACAATATGACCATGCAAAAAGATTTGGAGGATCTCCATCTTCCAGGAAAAGAAACAGCTTGATAAATACAAACCACTTAGTTCTTCAGCTTTTAACCTTCAAACCTGCAGGGCAACAAACGCAAGTCAAAGACTTAAGTTCAAGGGAGCTGGTACATGTTTCTTTCCTTCCGACCCGCCAGCCCCATTTCATTTCCTGGCTGGAAAACTTACCCTTCCACCAGTGGCTGATCTCCTGGGGTGTCCTGCCTGTCTCACAAAAATCACACTGGTTTGTGTCTTCAGAGAGACTAAAGCCAGACACAGTTAAACATGGGAAGTTCTCAATTAACATCCTTTGCTACAAGTCACAGACCAGAAGAACCTCTAACAAGGCCTTTATTTCACACCATTGAAAGTTCTGCATTTTCAATGATAGTTATTAAATTCTCACAAGTAGTATGCCAGAGACCAAGTCCTCCTGCCTTACTTTTTAATACAACATATAGGAAATATAAACAAACCGTACAAATACTTTACAGGCACAGTAAGATTTTTGGGTTGTTTGTTTTACATTCACTCAGTCAATGCACAAGTGATGATTCTAGGCAGATAGTTAGAAGTATCATACAAAGCCATGAGTACAACCTCGTCTTATCCCTCAATTTTCTTATTAAAATTCAGAAACTCTCCTTGGCACAATAAAAATAAATATATGTCTCTATACATAAATATACACTCACTATTTTGTCTCTGTATTCCAAATATTAACAAAAACATTTTAAATGCACTGTTCTGGTTCGCATGAAACAACATCACCTTTTATGAATAGCAATGGACAAAAGTCCCTTTTCACTACAAGGGCTGATAAAAGTGTAAGCCTATATCAAGAATAAAAACCACTTTTAGAATAAGATACCTGTTAAAGAAAAAAAAAAAACCTCAAAGTTGTGCTGTTAGCATTAAAACAGGTGTCTTAAGATTTGTTTATTACAGAGATTTAAAAGCAAACCAAAAGCCTTTTATCAAAGTCCGTATTTCAAAAAATTACTTAAAAACTATTAAAGTTCTGAAAACCAACCTCGTGCACACAGGCTAAACAGCAGCTTTCAACTCCACAGAAAACAAAGTACTAGAAAAATACTGGTTCTGAGACATTCAGAAAGAAAGTTGAATGCTTAAATACAGTCTTCTAAACCCAGACTTAATTTAATCTAATAAAAGATGGCACAAAAACTGTATTTACCCGTCTTCAATATGAAACAAGAAAATCAGACATGTGTATCTTTACTTTCTTCATCACTAGATATCCTGTGTACCTGCAGTTGTTGGTCTGTGCTTCCAACCACTTTCAACCAGATCCATTTTGCAGTTCAATGTGTACACTAGGAACTGTCTTTAGCGCAGTCAATTAATCACTCTCTTCATCAGAGTCAAAAATGTCACTGAGTCGGAAAACCTTCTTCTGTTGCTCAGGTGCTGAGTTTGAGTTGTCAGGACTAAGGTTTTTCCCTTTCTCTTTTTCAAGCTTTTCTTCAAGTTCCGGAAGTTTGTTTTTATAAAGATAATCAACGATTTCTTTGGGGGAGAAAAACAGAGAGAGAGAAAAGTGGTCTAAATTGTATCTATAGAGGAATTGGATGTCATTAGGAAGCAGGATCCCACTAACAGAAATTATTTTGTCAGTGTTAAATGCAAAAGAACCAAAAAAAATACACTCTTCCAACACACACACACGAGAAACTAAAAAAAGCAGTCAGGAAACTTTAAAGCCAAGGTTTAACTCAAAAAGGAGAGGTTCATAATCACTGCATGAAGATGTCATTGAAAGTAAACTGTTATTAAAAAAGAAAAATAGGGCATTTAGTAAAATAAATACAAAGCCTGAGATACCAGCCAATTTACTTAGGGGAAAGCTAAGAAATAATTGAGCTAGTATATGTATCCTCTTAGATTCAAGCAAAAACATTAAGGAGTATATACATATATACACAAACAGCTGGGATACTGACCAGGAAAAGTCTTTTTTTGCCATAAAGGGACACAGCTGACTTTTAGCTTACGAAATTTTGATCGAACATAGGCTCTATGGACATCTCTGAAAAGAGAAGAGTTCAAAGAATTAGTGGTGCAAGGAACTATTGCGAAGTTTAGTTGTTACCGAGTTACCCATTCATGAGAGTGATGCCAGTCAAACAGTATCTTAACTTTAGATAGGAAGGACAGATTTCAAATCCTAATTAAAACAGTTTTACAGGACAGCAATTCCTCTTGAAGGTAAGAAGCCAAACCATGCCATCATACATATGTGTTATGTGTTTAGTGAAAAGAGAGAGTGAATGAAACCGAAAGTACGTGGAAAACGTTAAAAGCACTGTAGAGCAAGTACAGCACTCACAGCATTGGTTATTTCATATTCAACATTTAACTTTGCTTGGAAGAAACTATTATATTGTATTACACATTCCTATAGTTATCCCTTTTTCCCCAATATGTAGGGATGAACACCCAGAAAAGTCTTTTATCAAAGGCTTTAGCACAGACTATATAACAGTTCTAAGCACAAATATGCTGGGAATACAAGAAGGGTTGCCTGAAGTGGTTATACGTGGTTTCAGAGCTTATAGGCATGGTTTATTGCTCAGTGCTATGCAAGGATATACAATGGTATGTTACTAAGCTAAGTGATGTTTTCTATAGTTGCAGAGGTCTAAGAACTTTGATTCCTTTATGGAATTTTAAGACAGTCTGCTTCAACAACCCTTTGTGTGAATGAAAAGAGGACCAAAAAAAAAAGGTTTACCCAATAGCATCACTGAGTTCTTCCCAGTTTACATCATTAGGATCCTCCACATTCATTTCATACAACCTAGGAATATAATACAGAAGTAGTTTGTAGGCAGAATTCAAGAAATAATTCAATTACACTCACAACTCCCCAGTCATAAGTCGCAGGGTATTTTGTTCTAAAAAAGAGCAGTTGTGAAACCTGTACGGAACTGCAGACATGCCATTCGCACCCTGCAAGCCTTCATAAACACACACCGGAACAGTAAGAAATACAAAAATATTCCAGTACCTCTGAACTATACCTTTTAATGAGATTGATCTTGGCTTGTAGTCCTTTGGTCCCCCTACATAACTGCTGCCCTTTGCTCATCTTGTTTATTAAAATTGTAGTCCTATGAAAATACAGAGGGGAGGAAAAAAAAGTTTTTATCATTTGAAGAAATTCCAAGCATCAAAAGGAAGTGTCTTCAAGATGCTACTGCTGCCACAAAGCAGCAGAAATCAGGCTTCACTGTCGCAGCAAGAACAAAACTCACCAGTGGCTAACAAAGTTATCTGTCTCAGTCACATTTACGACGCCTCTTCTGTAGCCTACCACCTATTTATTTCCTATCTTACCAAATAATCATCATGTCACAAACAGTTTGACAGAATAAATACTCCCCAGAACACATTTTACTGTCTATCTCAATTCAGTATGAAGACTTACCATTTCTGTTTACATTGTCTCCAATATCGAGTTCCCACTTTAGTTTCAATCTGACTCCATGGTAATTTCTTGCACAGTTTCTCACGGTCAACTAAGATATCTCTATTTGACTTTTCCGATATGGAAAGAGAATTTCCATCTTCCACTTCTATTCTTTTCCTAATCACCTCCTCCACTGCACGCATTAACTTCTGGATCTCTTCCTCTGACCAAGGGCCATAATTAACAGCTAAAATTGAAAAATAAGGTTAAGGCATAATTTATCATAAATGATTAGTGAAAAAAGGCAAAAGATCACTTTTATAGAATCATAGAATGATTTGGGTTGGAAAGGACCTTAAGATCATCCAGTTCCAAACCCCCTGCCATGGGCAAGGACACCTCACATTAGACCATGTCTATTCTTATTTACAGGACCAGCTTCTTAACACATTTCCTAGAAACTCTTCTGCACACCAGATTTGAATGAGGAGCTCAGCCTAATCACCAAAGAACAGCACTGATGCCAAATTCCTCCCACCCTACCCCCAAAAGCATGTATTTAGATGTCAGTTCCATTTAATAAAGAGGTGCATTTGTTGCATTTCTTTTCTCTTTCCCATCAGACTGTTCTTATCCCTACCATTTGCAAATGCAGAAAATGGTTTGGAAAATTAGTAAGAAAAAAAAAAAAATCCATTTTAGGGATTTTTTTCCCTAAAGTTTAGGGCACATAAAACATGCAGTTAAAATAACTTCTCAGTTGCAATACACAGAATGAATTGCTTTTCTGAAAATGACACACCTGACTTGATTTCAGAGTATTTCATAGCAACTGAGAGGTTAGAACGGGACATCATCTCAGAAATCTTCTTCCAATCATTGCCATATAGAGCATAATACTTCTTCAAATTTTCTGTTTCTTCCTTAGTGTACCTAGATGAGGAAAGTGGCAAAGCTTCAGCTGCAGATTCAAACCATTCCAGTATCTAGAGCTGTAATCTTTACAGATGTTTCAATGTTACTCATCACTATGCCATTTCATGTCACACTTTATAACAGAGGAATTGATAAGGACTACTTAGAAAAATGAACTGTCAATTACGACACAGTGGCACAAATGGGAGAGGTTACCTTCATTTATATCCATTTTTAGTGGACAAAGAAACCTCAGAGACTGATATTAGCATTCAAAATCTCCTGCAAATTACTCACCTCCCTTTATAATTATTTGGGTCAAAGATCTTCCTTGCTCGATAATATATCAGCCTCCAGGGTCGTGGTATGCCCTCAGCTAGGAAGTAAAATGATTCACTTAAGTAACATTTCTCACACAGGTGAGGCCACTTTCAAAAAAAGCCAAAACTAAACAAAACCAAACCCCAACAACAGACATTTTCATGACCATGCTACCAATGACAGATTCTCTCCAGTCAAGATAATGTACTCTACAACACTCCAGTAACTGCACAGGGAATGGTCTGAACAGAAGCTCCTGAGGAGTTTCAAAGATGTAATTGTTATGACCGTGGCAAGACTCTGAATGCTGAGTGATGGTAAATAATTGTGTACATGCCTGCACACCTGCAGGTGAATATTGAAAATTGAACTTTTAAACTCTCAAGCACAAACCCAAGTACAAATTGTATGGACTGGCTATACATTTGATCCACATGCAGTTAAGTTTAACTAACATATTGTTTACTCCCACTAATAGAGAGACCTAATTTCTTTCTGTTTCTGCCATCACTCACTGAGTCCTAAACCTGCCATCTCTTTATGTGCTCTAAGAACATTCAACAGTCTCACACAGGCCTCAATAACACCTGCCATTAATAAGTCACTATGCTTAACTATAGCCTAGCAAATAATGCACTTTAAGCCACAAAGCCCAAAGGCAAATTTGGAAGTCTGTAAGTGCTGCTGGCCATGATGGTATTTTAATCTCTAAACTCTGCAAACCCAAGAAAAGATAGCAGGAACAGTATGTGTAGTTGATAATCTGTACAGCAATCTCAGCAGCACGCTCCTTTTTTGCCAAATTTAGCAACATTAGTCCTTTTCAATAAAAAATTAATTTGGAAAATACACTGTGCTATCACCAGGTTGTGGAATGTAACATCCAGCCATTTGTAGAAGGAACTTAAATACTTACAAAGTTTTTCACAAAAAAGATATTCTACTTTTAAGCGACTGATAGTTTTTTTCTCTTCTGGATACCTCGAGGTAAACAGGAGTTTCTCAGCACTGTCTATTCCAGTAATCTTTAAGAACTCTTCAATATTTTTCCGGATTTGATCATTCTCCTTCTGGGAAAATCTGCCAAACTTGACAGCCATACCTAAAATGTACAGAAAGTTTGATTAAACAAAAAAAGCAAACTTCAAGTACCATCTCTAGTACATTTCAGGGTTTAACAAATATAACAAAAGATCAACAAATTCAAAAGGTTAAAGAAGAATACTGAAAGAGACCAAACAAGAGGTGAGAGCAGGGAATTTACACATATACTTTGGACTGTAATTCAGTAATGAGGAAGTTGATGCTACAAAGCAGAGAAACAGATGTGCCTGTTAGAATGAAGCAAACCAGACTCTATGATGTGACAGACACGGTACAAAAACTATGTTCCCTCTGTCAAAGCATTAGCACGCCTGCACAGTCCTTTCACACAGCTACAATATTTTAGAGAGCTCACCTTGTTTTTTAAACTGTTTAAACCTTACTAGGTCTCTTCCAGCCATCTTCATGACTGAACTATCCGATATAGTCCTCACATGAGGAATAAACTCTTCCAGTTCCCGTTTTGCAGTATCCAAATCCATGAATGAAGACATGGTAGAGCTCAGGTAGTCGTCTTCATCATCCACTTCATCATCCACACCCTTATCTGTGGTTACTGTTTCAGTAAAGGTACTATTCTGGTTCTTCATTCTATCTGATGCTGAGGGTTCTGGTGTCCTGATATAAATAAAAAGAAGAAAGAACATAAAATATACCACTAGACCTCAAAAACAGAGATTTTGTCAGTATCTCTACCATTACAAGAATGAACATGTTTATTAAAGAACCCGAAATGCTTCACACCATCCACCCCTTTGTATTTCCCATCTAACACAGACATAATTTATTATCAGATTTCTACAGTTACAATACTCAAAGAGCTTGAAGCTTTGAAAATTGCACCTTTCCCACAAAACTCTCACATACGGACATACAGAAGAAATAGTCTCTCTTGCTACCACTGGCAACACAGAACTTCTCTGTCTCTTATCAGTAGTCTAATTGTGGGTTCCACACACTCCAAAAGCACCAAGAGCTTGTCTGTGGTTTGGGTTGGAAGGGACCTTAAAGCTCTTCCAGTTCCAACCCGCTGCCACAGGCAGGGGGCACCTCCACCAGAGCACGCTGATCCCCACACCCCGTGTTTTAAGACCTTGTGCCCAACCTGGCCTTGAAGCCGGCGAGGGGTGGGCCAGCCACAGCTTCTCTGGGCATCCTGTGCCAGCACCTCAGCACCCTCACAGGGAAGAACATCTTCCATACAGCTAACCTAAATCTACCTTCTGCAGTTATAACGACACTCTTAAAGTAGGTCTCTGTAAAAACACAACATATTGTAAAGGGTTTTGGAAATGTTTTTAAGAATTCATACAGAACAGACTGAAGAAAAATCTGGGACCCAAATAATGTGATAGAAACATGGGGGAGGGGGTTGTAAAAAAAATGAACAGAAACAAAACCTAAACATACTTTACATCAGAATCTGAAGAGCTTTCGTCTGTGATAAAGGCTTTGCTTTTGATTTTCTTAGAGCGCACTGGAGGGGTTTTAGGAGGCTGATTAGCTGCTTTAGTCATCTTAGAAAAATTAGCAGGTACATCCATAGAATCTTCACTCCTGGCAGCAGAAGCATCGCATTCACCATTCTCATGCCATTGCCCGGGCGACGCTACACCATCCGTTTCTGTAGCTGACGGCAGCTCTGTGCCTTCCCCTTGCCTGTTTTGCTCTTCAGGTGACAACAGTGACTGGTCAACTGTTATATCTGCTGCTTCTTGTGTATCTAAGGTACTGCTGCATGTTTTCTTCTTTTCAGATCTTTTACTGCCATTTTTGTCTTGTGTTTCTGAGGTAGGCAGCTCATGTACCTCACCCTCGTCAGGTAATTTTTCCTTTCTTTTTTTCTTCTTCTTTACAGGTGGTTCTAAATAAACAGATTCAGGCAGCTCATGTACCTCATCCTCTTCAGGTAATCTTTCCTTTCTTTTCTTCTTCTTCTTCTTCTTCTTTACAGGTAGTTCTAAATAAACAGATTCAGGCAGCTCATGTACCTCATCCTCTTCAGGTAATCTTTCCTTTCTTTTCTTCGTTACAGGTAGTTCTAAATAAACAGATTCAGGCAGCTCATGTACCTCATCCTCTTCAGGTAATCTTTCCTTTCTTTTCTTCGTTACAGGTAGTTCTAAATAAACAGATTCAGGCAGCTCATGTACCTCATCCTCTTCAGGTAATCTTTCCTTTCTTTTCTTCGTTACAGGTAGTTCTAAATAAACAGATTCAGGCAGCTCATGTACCTCATCCTCTTCAGGTAATCTTTCCTTTCTTTTCTTCGTTACAGGTAGTTCTAAATAAACAGATTCAGGCAGCTCATGTACCTCATCCTCTTCAGGTAATCTTTCCTTTCTTTTCTTCGTTACAGGTAGTTCTAAATAAACAGATTCAGGCAGCTCATGTACCTCATCCTCTTCAGGTAATCTTTCCTTTCTTTTCTTCGTTACAGGTAGTTCTAAATAAACAGATTCAGGCAGCTCATGTACCTCATCCTCTTCAGGTAATCTTTCCTTTCTTTTCTTCGTTACAGGTAGTTCTAAATAAACAGATTCAGGCAGCTCATGTACCTCATCCTCTTCAGGTAATTTTTCCTTTCTTTTCTTCTTCTTCTTCTTCACAGGCAGTTCTAAATAAACAGATTCAGGCAGCTCATGTACCTCACCCTCGTCAGGTAAGTTTTCCTTTCTGTTTTTCTTCTTCTTCACAGGTGGTTCTAAACAAACAGATTCAGGCAGCTCATGTACCTCACTCTCTTCAGGTAATTTTTCCTTTCTTTTTTTCTTCTTCTTCTTCTTCACAGGTGGTTCTAAATAAACAGATTCAGGCAGCTCATGTACCTCATCCTCTTCAGGTAATTTTTCCTTTCTGTTTTTCTTCTTCTTCTTTACAGATGGTTCTGAATAAACAGATTCAGGCAGCTCATGTACCTCATCCTCTTCAGGTAATTTTTCCTTTCTGTTTTTCTTCTTCTTCTTTACAGATGGTTCTGAATAAACAGATTCAGGCAGCTCATGTACCTCATCCTCTTCAGGTAATTTTTCCTTTCTGTTTTTCTTCTTCTTCTTTACAGATGGTTCTGAATAAACAGATTCAGGCAGCTCATGTACCTCACCCTCTTCGGGTAATTTTTCCTTTCTGTTTTTCTTCACAGAAGGTTTTAAATAAATGTAATCAGCATCACTCCCATGACAAATATCACAGCTACCCTGATTTACTGCAATACAAGTTACAGCATTACTTTCCTCATCCATATTATCATTATGCTTCCGCTTCTTTTTCTTCTTTTTCTTTTGGGAAGCATCCACTCCAGTTTCATTACTAATGTCCTGCTCCAGTTCTACACAAGAATTATCTAACAAAGACTGTTGTTCCTCCTGCTTCTTTTTTCTTTCCTTCTTTTTACAGCCTTCACCACTCTGTGCTGCTTGATCTTCAAGCAGAGGTAGAGAAGCAGAGCTAAGCTCTGCATTCTGTATGCTTTCTCTTTCATCATTTTCATGTTCCTTATCATATTCTTTGTGTTTTCTCTTTTTCTTCTTCTTCTTCTTCAGAAAATCCTGAACTTGAAAATCATCTGCACTTGCTTTTTCTGTCATCTTTCTTCTTACCTTAAATAAAAGATACGGGGTTTACTCACATTCTGTAATTTATGTATCACTACACAGTTAAAAAACAAACAGGAAAAAACAAAACAAATCAGCCTCCCCCTGAACATTAACATACTAGAGAACAACTCAACATTAACTTAGAAACATACAATGACGACACTTACTTTTCAATCCAGCTAATTTTGCAGTGGGACTACGAAAATGTGATGCCTTCTTCATCAAACAGATGTGCATTACAGCTGTATTCAGCTTTAAAATTGCTTTCCTATAAATGCAAAAGATACGTATCAGTAATTATTAGCTTTCAGTTGATTCTGAATAACTAAGCAACAGTAGACTGCTATATTCATAGAATCAACTAGATTAGAAAAGACTCTTTAATATCAGCAAGTCCAGCCTTTACTCTAGCACTGCCAAGGCTACCACTGACCCCTGGCACTGAAGCCTCTTCAACACGGTGTGTGAACACTTGCAGGGACGGTGACTCCAGCGCTGCCCTGGGCAGCCTGTTCCAATGCCTGAGCACGCTTTGGGGAAGGAATTGTTCCTAATCTCCATCTAAACCCCTCCTGGCGCAGCTTAAGATCATTTCCCCTTGTCCTACCACTCTGCTTCCAGCACCAAAACAACAAGCTAAAAGTAATCAGGAAACATTAAACTAATCAGCACTAAAACCAAACGCCCTAGTTAGAAGCGCCTGACAGGCTTCGACCACGTTCAGCTAGGCCCAGGCCCAAGCAGGACCTGCGAGCACCAACAGCGCCTGTAACCAGCACCAATACGAACACAGCGGGGCCGCGGCAGGCCTGAGGGCGGGCTGTGGGTCAGCGCC